TATAAGGATAGATCAAAACGCTTAATGGTACTTTCAAATGAGCACATACCTTGACATGATCTTGAAGGTGTTCAAGTTGGACCAGTAAAAGAAGGAGTTCTTGCCTGAGTTGTAAGGTATGAAGTTAAGACTTAAAGCTCGACCACGGCAGAATAGAGAGAAAGGACGAAGGTCGTCCCCTATGCTTTAGACGTAGGCTCTACAGTATGCCGTGCTGTGTACCGCACCGAAAGTGTGCCTTGCCATGAGTCAGTCAAGGGGTACAAGAGTGATCCATCAATGGATCATAGGACAGCGGTCAAAGTTATCCTTAGTAACTAGTGGACTAAGGAATTTTTCTCGATTATGGAGGTGGTAAAAGAGTTCGTCGTAAAGGTTACGTCGATGCAAGCTTAACACCTATCCGGATAGCTCTGAGTAGAGAGACCGGATACATATAATGGAGCAATAATTTAGAATAGCTCCAAGTAGAACAGTTGTTTGGAATAGCTCCAAATAGAGCGTGGTAGCTGCATCTAGGAGATGACATGGAGATTTGTAAAGCACACACGGATCTGAAAGGTTCAGACCCGTTGACTAAAACCTCTCTCACAAGCAACATGATCAAACATAAAACTCATTGAGTGTTAATCACATAGTGATGTGAACTAGACTACTGACTCTAGTAAACTCTTGGGTATTAGTCACATGGTGATGTGACCTGTGAGTGTTAATCACATGGCGATGTGAACTAGATTATTGACTCTAGTGCAAGTGGGAGACTGTTGGAAATATGCCCTAGAGGCAATAATAAAAGTGTTATTATTATATTTCCTTGTTCATGATAATTGTCTTTTATTCATGCTATAACTGTATTATCCGGAAATCGTAATACACGTGTGAATACATAGACCACAATATGTCCCTAGTGAGCCTCTAGTTGACTAGCTCGTTGTGATCAACAGATAGTCATGGTTTCCTGGCTATGGACATTGGATGTCGTTGATAACGGGATCACATCATTAGGAGAATGATGTGATGGACAAGACCCAATCCTAAGACTAGCACAATAGATCGTGTAGTTCATTTGCTAGAGCTTTGCCAATGTCAAGTATCTCTTCCTTTGACCATGAGATCGTGTAACTCCTGGATACCGTAGGAGTGCCTTCGGTGTATCAAACGTCACAACGTAACTGGGTGACTATAAAGGTACACTACAGGTATCTCCGAAAGTATCTATTGTTTTATGCGGATCGAGACTGGGATTTGTCACTCCGTGTAAACGGAGAGGTATCTCTGGGCCCACTCGGTAGGACATCATCATATGCGCAATGTGACCAATGAGTTGATCACGGGATGATGTGTTACGGAACGAGTAAAGTGACTTGCCGGTAACGAGATTGAACAAGGTATCGGTATACCGACGATCGAATCTCGGGCAAGTAAAATACCGCTAGACAAAGGGAATTGTATACGGGATCGATTGAGTCCTTGACATCGTGGTTCATCCGATGAGATCATCGTGGAACATGTGGGAGCCAACATGGGTATCCAGATCCCGCTGTTGGTTATTGACCGGAGAACATCTCGGTCATGTCTGCATGTCTCCCGAACCCGTAGGGTCTACACACTTAAGGTTCGATGACGCTAGGGTTATAAAGGAAGCTTGTATGTGGTTACCGAATGTTGTTCGGAGTCCCGGATGAGATCCTGGACGTCACGAGGAGTTCCGGAATGGTTCGGAGGTAAAGATTTATATATAGGAAGTCCTGTTTTGGGAATCGGGACAAGTTTCGGGGTCATCGGTATTGTACCGGGACCACCGGAAGGGTCCCGGGGGCCCACCGGGTGGGGCCACCTGCCCCGGGGGCCACATGGGCTGTAGGGGGTGCGCCTTGGCCTACATGGGCCAAGGACACCAGCCCCTAGAGGCCCATGCGCCAAGATAAAGAAAAAAGGGGAGAGTCCTTAAAGGGGAAGGCACCTCCGAGGTGCCTTGGGGAGGATGGACTCCTCCCCATCCTTAGCCGTACCCCTTCCTTGGAGGAGGGGGCAAGGCTGCGCCCTCCCCCTCTCCCTTGGCCCTATATATAGTGGGGAAAAGGAGGAGCAATCAGACCTAAGGCCTTTGGTTGCCTCCCTCTCCCTCCTCCTCTTCTCCCATGGTGCTTGGCGAAGCCCTGCGGGATTGCCACGCTCCTCCACCACCACCACGCCGTTGTGCTGCTGTTGGATGGAGTCTTCCTCAATCTCTCCCTCTCTCCTTGCTGGATCAAGGCGTGGGAGACGTCACCGGGCTGTACGTGTGTTGAACGCGGAGGTGCCGTCCGTCCGGCACTTGATCATCGGTGATCTGAATCACGACGAGTACGACTCCATCAACCCCGTTCACTTGAACGCTTCCGCTTAGCGATCTACAAGGGTATGTAGATGCACTCTCCTTCTACTCGTTGCTGGTCTCTCCATAGATAGATCTTGGTGATATGCGTAGGAAAATTTTTGAATTTCTGCTACGTTCCCCAACACCACCATCACGTGCTGCCGGTCGCGACAACCCCCCGTTGCCCCGCACGGAACGCCACCGACCAGTAACACACGGGAGCTCAGGCGAGCTCCCTCCACCCCCTGCGCCGCCAATCGAACCCCAGGCGGCAGATCCGAGCGGATCTGGCCGACGCCCGCCAGTGCGCTGCCACCCAAGCCAGACCACCCAGCAACCGCCGCACCACCACAGGGGCCCAGACCGATGCCGCGCCGCCACCAGACGGCCGCCCCGCACCAATGGCGTCGTGTCGCTGGGCCCTGTCGACGCCCAGCGCCGCCACCCACGAGCCCCGCCACGTGACGGGCCCTGAAGGTAGAGGATGAGGGAAAGGCCCCGCCGCCGCCGCGCTGACCGGGCATTGCCCGTCAACGCCTACTGGCGGCGGCAGTGGAAGGACAAATGAGGAAGGGAATGTTAGGAGCGGCGGCTAGGGATCCCCCCCCCCCCGTGGCCACCGGCGCGCGCGGGCACGTCGCGGGAGGGGAGGGGAGAGGAGGGGCACGGGGAAAAGGAATCAAATTATCAATTTCACAAGGAGTTAGCCCACTTCTTATATTTCCAGTCTACAAAAAAGATGGGTGCTTTTTGCCCATCCAAATAGTGCATCAATCTCTGAATTCATTCGAGATTCTATCAGTACAATGATAACCTAACCTTTTCTCCTCCTCCCTTCTTTCTACTCTCTTTATTGGACAAAGGAGAGACATTGGTACGGTTGGATGATCGGCTCCCCTAAAGCTATCGACAGACACGTCCTAATATGTCCACAAATGTTTTGCATGTCTAATTTGATGCATGGTGTTGGATATTTCCTAGCCTTCTTAAAAAGAAAAATGCTTTCATCCAACCATATGATTTCTTAACGAAATCAGCTGTCTCCAACACAAGACATGTGTCCGACGGGCCCCGCGTAACTATCCATCTTATCCTATCGAGAATCTTCGTCCAGCTGTTGGTCGTTTTCCCGAGCGCTACTTTCTCTCCTTTCTCTCTCACATCTCTATCTTTTTTAATCCAGATCAGTGAGGTGGTGCTGGCACCGGCTGTCGCCACTTCCACAACCTTGATCCCCCTCTTCTCCTCCTCCCGCCGTCCACCACCGATGCTTCAAGCTCCATCAGCCATCACCTAATGTTGCAAGCCCACATCATTGCCGCTCGCTGCTACGAGCAAGTAATCACGTCATGTCGGTGATACGATGCCCAGGGACAATGTGATGCCAGCCTATCGCAATGGCGTCAATGCTGCAATTCAACATGGGGCCAGCCGTAATTCGCAGCACTGCCTGCCGCTGCCGCGGGGTGTCGCTTCATTGCAGCGTCGCCGCACTCCTAGCAGCACTGTTGGCGCCACGACAGTCACAACATGGACAGTGCTTCAATGCAACGTCGCTGGCCCGACCCGCCACGCTCCCATAGCAGCGCCTGATGCTGCAAGCAACTACTCGAGAATGAGGCGATTGCGTCACAACAGCGGCTGACGGCACGACAGCCCCCTTGAAGGAGCGACGCCAGATCAGAATCCTCACGGAGTAAATGAACCGCCCTCTTCACCTCATACGCTAGTGAGCGGCCTTTGGTAGCACCCTGCAGCCGGCCAGGCAGCATCCATCAGTTGATTTTTGCAGCACCGTCACGGTGAATCCTTGCAGCGACCTCTCTGTCAAATATTGCAGCACCGGTGTCTGACATGCAGCGTGTGGGCGACTCTTGCGGCAACCGGCTAGCAGACGCCACGTATGCAGCACCAGCGCCCCCGCTAGTGGTTGGCTTGCCCAACCTGTCGGCGGCTTGCTACCGTGGGCGGAGTTTGCAGCAGTAGGAGCGGCGCGGAGCTGTCGTGCTTGTTGCAATGGGTCGTTGACTGCAGCAGCGGCGGTGTGGTGGGTGCTACATAGGTCCTCGGGTTTGGTGGCCGACGGCGAGTTCGTAGCATCGACCGTTTAGAACGAGAAGGATTGAGAGAGAGGGGGGATGACGAACTAGGGATGTTCTGTAATCACTGACTGGGAGCCATGTGTAGGTGAAGATGGGAAGCGATGAAAGAGAAGAATCAAGTGGCTCAAATCCATCCAAAAGGGCAAATGAGACGGCTGTCTAAGCGGTTGATCCTTGCACAGCCAGCTAACGCCTAGCAGCCTTCCTTACAAAATGATGATATTTTTGGTCTTGTCATATGGTTATCATATGGTCTTCTCCTAAACACCATTTTTCCATGATAAAGAATTACCAAAATAACAATACTACATTTATCAAATAAATAAATAAATAAATAATACTACATTTATCCAAAAATAATAAGTTGCCGATTTATTGGCCTAATTAAACACCAACCAATTCCCATCGAGCGCGTGCTATTCGCCAGTTCACTTGCCTTTTCACCATAACAAAATCAAAGAGTTCCACGTCCATAAATAGTCACGTGATCGTCCCACTGCACGCGTGCGGCGGCTCTGACATCTGAAGTCCGGCCAGCAATGGGGTGCTCCAGCTCGACGGTTGCGCGCGGCGGCGTAGACATGTCGGCGCTGCCGGCGCCGGCGCGGCCAGAGAGGCGGCATAGCCTTCCTTCACGCGCCGCCTCGGCGATGGGCTCCCTCGGCCTCTGCCGCGGCCGGCACGACGGCCTACACCCCTACACGACGTTGCCGCTCGAAGAGACGGTAAGGGGCGAAGCCCAATATGGAGCACCGTCGGCGGAGGCGAAGGCCGCTTCCTTTAGTGGGGATGCGGCGGCGTGGCCTGCGGAGGGCCGCGCGCCGATGAAGCTATCGCCGGCCGGAATTCTTGAGGGCGCTGCGTCGTCAACGTCGAGCACAGCGCATTGGACCGCATCAGCGACTTCGAGCACGCCGCAATTTTCAGCGTCGCCGAGTTGGTTCCGTGGAGAATCATCGTCGTCGCTGCCGCCGCCGGTGCAGTTTGTGGCGCCTGACTTTGATCCGGCGATACTGTCCCTGTTCCGCGAGGCCTTGGTGGGACAGTCACCGTCTCACCCGGCGGTTCTCTTCCCAGAGAATGAGGCCACGACCCCGCGGGAGACGGCCGCCTTGGACGAGGTGGTGCCGCCGGCCACCCGGGACATGCCGGAGGTGACCGGCTTGGTTCGTGCGCGTGTCGACGAGTTCCACAGGAAGCTGGAGGAGAAGAAGGAGATGAAGGAGGCGGAGGCCCAGAGCGCCACCCACGACGCCGCGGACGAGGTGGCGGTGCCTCCTCCGAGGAAGGCGGTGGTAGTGTACTTCACCAGCATCCGCGGCGTGCGCAAGACGTTCGCGGACGGCGCGGCCGTGCGCGCCATCCTGTTCTCCTACCGCGTGCGCGTGGACGAGCGGGACGTGTCCATGCACGCCGCCTTCAAGGACGAGCTCCGCAACCTCGTCGGCCTCGCCGCGGGGGCCGGGCACGTGCTCCCCCGCGTTTTCGTCTTGGGCGATGGCGAGCAGCAGCTCGACCTTGGAGGCGCCGACGAGGTGAGCGAGCTGCACGAGAGCGGCGAGCTCGCTCACGCGCTAGCCGGGTGCGAGACAGTGGCGGCGCACCTCCCCCCATGCGTCGGGTGCGGTGACTTGCGCTTCCTGCCCTGCGGCACGTGCTCCGGCAGCTGCAAGCTCTTCGCCGGCGACGAGGGTGGGTGCGTGGCTGACATGTTCGAGGAGTGCACGGAGTGCAACGAGAACGGGCTCATCAGGTGCCCGGTCTGTTGCCTCTGACGACCACAGCTAAGAGTTTCATGAGCCAGATTAGTGCCAAACGAGGTCGTTAATTAGGCGGACTGAGAGACTCCCTTCGTTCTCGTAGGCTACAATTAGCCTTACTTTACCGTGCTGCCCGAGAAGCTGCCTTTAATTTTCTCCTGGTGAGCAGTATCTTAGTTTGTTGTTTGCTTGGTGTAATCCGGGTTGTGTTGTTGTAAATTGTAATGCAACATCTTATATCCTGCCTATTTTCCTTTCATTTCCTTTTCCTTTTATTTTCTTTTGTGTGGCGTTGTATTTGTCTGCAATGACGTCATTAATTTAATGCCAGGCCGCAGGCCTTCTTTCTAAAGAAGAAATTATCCTGGATCTTTGAAGTCTAGGTATTTTTCTGTCTGTTTGATGTTTGCCTGCTTGGTGATTAGTTTGATTTGCTGCTATATTTTGGGAAGCAAAAATCATTTGGGAGATGGTTGTTTTCATACTAATATCAGTCGTTTGTGAGTAAATACATTTTAGTAACTCAGTTAAATGTTGACAGAGGACAAATCAGTTGATACTACCCAGGAAAAGAAAGGGAATCCCTGCTAGCTTCTGCAGTAAAATCATCTCCTGACGCTATTTACCTGTTCATCTAGCATGATAAATAGATACAGTCAGCTACGTTAGCAGAACCAGAAATGAGGAGACATAAGTCTGCTATTGCTTGAGGTGTTAAAACATGTTCATAGCTTAAATTCTTGCTTCTTTATCCTGATTCGTATTTTCCTTCCCGGTCTAAAAATGATTATTATAATTTGTTAGTTTATCTTCCTCTCACATGAACAAAATGTTTTCTCACAACAAAAGTAATGGAATGCACAAATTATTGTGCAAAGATTCTTACTGTGGATACCACGGAGAAACCTTTAATCACAATAGACTTTGTGAACTTACCCGCAAAAAGAAAAGACTTTGTGAACAGCTTTAGAGGAACGGCACAAGTTCTCGAGCAGGATGGTTACACACAGTTTACTCCCCATTATTTTAATCCCGTCGTCCGAAAAGGCTTGTTCCTCAAATGGATATATCTAACATCAAATTAATGCTAGATACATTTATTTGATGAACAAGTTTGGGACAAGTTTTTTTGAACGGAGGGAATACATAGTATTGTCCAGAAGATTTGGCTATAAGCAAGCAATATAGTACATCCTAGTGCATCAATAAATAAAAAATCTGAGCAACCAGTGTATCAATAATGTGAAATATTGTCCCGTAGCAGGATTTCGACATAGTATATGATGGATGGTTAAAATATAGGTCAAGTATGTCTATTCAAGGTTGTCAATGAAAAAAGGATCGCTCCGCGTCGCCTAGCCCAGGGCGACTCGGGCGCGGCCAGCAATCCATGCACTAGAGCCGCTATTTCCCCTCCTCTCGCCTCGCCGCCGCTGAAGGACACCGCGTGGGTTCCCCCGCGCGGCCGACGGTGGCGGCGGGGCGCTCTCCCGCGACAGCTTCCATCCTGTAGGGCAGCAGGTTGGGAGGTGCGAGCTGGGGCAGGATCCCGGCGACCGTCGAAAGACCTCGCGTCCTAACACGTACGTGGCGGCGGCTACCAGCGTCATGGCCGTATGGGGTTGCATCGACGACGGTTGTCAGGCGTGGCACTGCCCAAATCCACCCGTGTAGGATCGAAAGTATGTCTAGAGGAGGGTGATTAAACTACTTGACCAAAAAAATCTATCATTTTCCCAATTTTAGTTGTGGGCAGATTTTAGCTATTAGCACAAGTCAAGCAATCAATGTACACATGCAATTCTAAGAGTATAGCGGCGGAAAGTAAAATATTGCATATGAAGGTAAAGGGAAATGTTTGGAGAAGGCAAACACAATGGAGACACGAAGATTTTTGGCATGGTTCCGATAGGTGGTGCTATCGTACGTCCACGTTGATGGAGACTTCAACCTACGAAGGGTAACGGCTGCGCGAGTCCACGGAGGGCTCCACCTACGAAGAGTCCACGAAGAAGCAACCTTGTCTATCCCACCATGGCCATCGCCCACGAAGGCTTGCCTCACCCGAGTAGATCTTCACGAAGTAGGCGATCTCCTTGCCCTTACAAACTTCTTGGTTCAACTCCACAACATGTCGAAGGCTCCCAGGCGACACCTAACCAATATAGAAGACACCACTCTCCAAAAGGTAATAGACGATGTGTTGATGATGAACTCCTTGCTCTTGTGCTTCAAATGATAGTCTTCCCAACACTCAACTCTCCCACACAGATTTTGCTATGGTGGAAAAATGATTTGAGTGGAAAGCAACTTGGGGAAGGCTCGAATTAAGGTTCAAAAGGTTGGAATGGAATCTCTTGATCTCAACACACGAGTAGGTGGTTCTCTCTCAAAAAATGAATGATGGAAGTATAGGTACGTTCTAATGGCTCTCTCCACAAAAGTGTTGGGGATCGTAGCAGAAATTAAAAAAAATTTATGCGTCACCAAGATCAATCTATGGAGTAACTAGCAACGAGAGAGAGGGGAGTGCATCTTCATACCCTTGAAGATCGCGAGACGGAAGAATTGCAAGAACACGGATGAAGGAGTCGTGCTCGAAGCGATTCAGATCGCGGCGGATTCCGATCTAAGCGCCGAACAACGGCACCTCCACGTTAACCACACGTGCAGCCCGGTGACGTCTCCCGCACCTTTATCCAGCAAGGAGGAGGGAGAGGTTGAGGAAGATGGCTCCAGTAGCAGCACGACGGCGTGGTAGTGATGGAGTGACAATTCTCCGGCAGGGCTTCGCCAAGCTCACGCGGAGGAGGAGAGGTGTTGGGAAGGGGAGGGGCTGCGCCTTGGATGTGGTGCTGCAGCCCTCCCTCCACCCCTCTATTTATAGGGAGAAGGGGGAAGGGGGCCAGCCCCTCTAGATGAGATCTAAAGGGGGGGCGGCGGCCAAAGGGGAGGGGCTTGCCCCCCCAAACAAGGGGGCGCCCCCTTTAGGGTCCCCCCCCAACCCTAGGCGAATGGGGCCTAGGGGGGATGGCGCCCAGCCCACTTAGGGACTGGTTCCCTTCCACCTACAGCCCATATGGCCCTCCGAGGTAGGTGGACCCTCCCGGTAGACCCTCGAAACCCCTACGGTGGTCCCGGTACAATATCGGTATACCCTCGAATATTTCCGGTGACCGTATTGTTGGGAACGTAGTAATTTCAAAAACATTCCTACGCACACGCAAGATCATGGTGATGCATAGCAACGAGAGGGGAGAGTGTTGTCCACGTACCCTCGTAGACCGAAAGCGGAAGCATTAGCAAAACGCGGTTGATGTAGTCGTACGTCTTCACGATCCGACCGATCAAGTACCGAACGCACGGCACCTCCGAGTTCAGCACACGTTCAGCTTGATGACGTCCCTCGAACTCCGATCCAGCCGAGTTTTGAGGGAGAGTTTCATCAGCACGACGGTGTGGTGACGATGATGATGTTCTACCGACGCAAGGCTTCGCCTAAGCACCGCTACAATATTATCGAGGTGGAATATGGTGGATGGGAGCACCACACACGGCTAATAGATCTCAAGGATCAATTATTGTGTCTATGGGGTGTCCCCCTGCCCCCGTATATAAAGGAGCTAGGAGGGAGGCGGCCGGCCAAGGAGAAGGGCGTGCCAAGGGGGGAGTCCTACTCCCACCGGGAGTAGGACTCCTCCTTTCCTAGTAGGAGTAGGAGAGAATGAAGGGGAAGAGAGAAGGGAAGGAAGGAGGGGGCGCAACCCCTCCCCCTAGTCCAATTCGGACTAGGCCTTGGGGGGCGCGCGGCCTGCCCTAGGCAGCCCCTCTCTCTTTCCTGTATGGCCCAATACTTCTCCCCGGCGAATTCCCGTAACTTTTCGGTACTCCGATAAATACCCGAATCACTCGGAACCTTTCCGATGTCCGAATATAGTCGTCCAATATATCGATCTTTACGTCTCGACCATTTCGAGACTCCTCGTCATGTCCCTGATCTCATCCGGGACTCCGAACTACCTTCGGTACATCATAACACATAACACATAATATAAATCGTCATAGAACTTTAAGCGTGTGGACCCTACGGGTTTGAGAACTATGTAGACATGACCGAGACACTTTTCCAGTCAATAACCAATAGCGGAACCTGGATGCTCATATTGGCTCCCACATATTCTACCTAGATCTTTATCGGTCAAACCGCATAACAATATACGTTGTTCCCTTTGTCATCGGTATGTTATTTGCCCGAGATTCGATCGTCGGTATCTCAATACCTAGTTCAATCTCGTTACTGACAAGTCTCTTTACTCATTCTGTAATGCATCATCCCGCAACTAACTCATTAGTCACATTGCTTGCAAGGCTTATAGTGATGTGCATTACCGAGAGGGCCCAAAGATACCTCTCTGACAATCTGAGTGACAAATCCTAATCTCGAAATATGCCAACTCAACAAATACCTTCGGAGACACCTGTAGAGCACCTGTATAATCACCCAGATACGTTGTGATGTTTGGTAGCACACAAAGTGTTCCTCCGGTAAACGGGAGTTGCATAATCTCATAGTCATAGGAACATGTATAAGTCATGAAGAAAGCAATAGCAACATACTAAACGATCAAGTGCTAAGCTAACGGAATGGGTCAAGTCAATCACATCATTCTCTAATGATGCGATCCGTTTAATCAAATGACAACTCATGTCTATGGTTAGGAACTTAACCATCTTTGATTAACGAGCTAGTCAAGTAGAGGCATACTAGTGACACTATTTTTATCTATGTATTCACACATGTACTAAGTTTCCGGTTAATACAATTCTAGCATGAATAAACATTTATCATGAAATAAGGAAATAAATAATAACTTTATTATTTCCTCTAGGGCATATTTCCTTCAGTCTCCCACTTGCACTAGAGTCAGTAATCTAGTTCACATCACTATGTGATTTAACACCAATATTCACATCTGTATGTGATTAGTACCCATAGTTCACATCGTCATGTGATC